TTCCCTTTGTTTTGGCGTCTCCTTGTTTCATGTTGTATTTCCATTTGTTTTGGTGTCTCCTTGTTACATGTTGTCTTTCCCTTTGTTTTGGTGTCTCCTTGTTTCATGTTGTATTTCCATTTGTTTTGGCGTCTCCTTGTTTCATGTTGTATTCCCTTTGTTTTGGCGTCTCCTTGTTTCATGTTGTATTTCCATTTGTTTTGGTGTCTCCTTGTTACATGTTGTCTTTCCCTTTGTTTTGGTGTCTCCTTGTTTCATGTTGTATTTCCATTTGTTTTGGCGTCTCCTTGTTTCATGTTGTATTCCATTTGTTTTGGTGTTCTTGATTCGCGGCGTCGTTTGAGTTGGTGTCTGCTTGCATGTTGACTTTTTGTTTTGGGGTTTCCTTGGATCATGCTGTTTTTTGTTTTGTTTTAATGTTTCCTCCAATCTTTAGCTTTTGTGTCTCCGCGGTTCATGTTGTCTTTTCCTTTGTTTTGGTATATTCTCGCTTCACGCTGTCTTTCCCTTTGATTTGTTTTGGAGTTCCTCGGATCATATTGTCTTTTGTTTTGATGTTTACTCGGATCACGTTGTATTGTGTTTTGTTTTGAAATCTCCATGGTCTTTGTCTATGATGTCATTGATTTGGTCTGGTGTGTCCTTGCTCCGTGTTGTCTTTGCATTTGTTTTGGTGTCTCCTTGCTCTAAGCAATGTAAATACAATTAAGAGGATTTTTTACGAAATCCTTAATTATATATAAGATATATATCCCAATTGTAGCTTGTTTTAACTTATACGTTCTCGAGTGCAAAGAACAAGTTATGGAAAATAAATCATTTCATTTTCTTTTTGTCACAAATACAACATTTGCAATCCACATACATATTGCTCCATTCGCTTAAGATAAAATGCTAATTGTTTTCACGCGTCAGCAAAAAAGCGTCACAAGACAAACTCAAGACAACAGCAGAAAGCAAGGATACAGATATATCCAATAATCAATATGTTTACCTACGTACAAGTATGTATGTTGCGTTTCGTTAGTATACATGTACTACTCCGATGCCGTCCCTGTCACATCTCCGTGGAGATGGTGGTACGGCTAATGAGGGCTAGTACTACTGATGTATACGTATAACGGGTGACAGCAGCAGATACACAGGACATACTGTTAAAAGATCCTGAATACGACAAACACACGTAAGACTTGCATGCTAGGCCATCGAAGATGGCTCGTAATATTTAATATCGTCATTCCTTTGTCATTTTAGAAACTGAAATATGTTCCCTGATCTGACTGGTTAACAAGGTTTTAGTACGTGAAGCAAAAACGACGAGTTGCAGGAAAATATGCGAACATTTTGTTTCGAGCGACAAACGCCTGTGTGTGTCTTAATCTCATTGTGTCTTACTCTCAGTGTGTCTTACTCTCATTGTGTCTTACTCTCATTGTGTCTTACTCTCATTGTGTCTTTCTCTCATTGTGTCTAGCACGTTGTGTCTTACTCTCAGTGTGTCTTACGCTCATTGTGTCTTTCTCTCATTGTGTCTTCCTCTCACTGTGTCTTTCTCTCATTGTGTCTTCCTCTCATTGTGTCTTCCTCTCATGCTGTCTTACTCTCACTGTGTATTACTCTCAGTGTGTCTTACTCTCATTGTGTCTTACTCTCATTGTGTCTTACTCTCATGTTTCAAGGTACAAGGTGGTCGACTGGTGGGTTCCTTACCCCTAACCTTTAATAGTGGCACGGTTCAGGGTACACACGCTTCACGCATCATCTAATTGGTAATTAATCAAAAACGCCATTTTTTTGAAATTCATAAAATACAGGGGTTTTATGCACCTCCACTTCTATTTTGTCTGCTTCAATAATAGTTTAGACCAATTCAGATTGTCACTTTTTGCTTCTATTATCACTGATGAGTCCCTGAATGACGTAATAGCTGTATGGTGCTGTGTGATCTTATTTTGGCAAACTGAATTTATTAATAAAATTTTGAAGAAGCAAACACCACATGAGTATGTTTAACGTTAATTTTTAAAGAAGAATATTTCTAAAAATGCTGCATATTAGAATACTTAAGTATGTGAAAAACACTCTGTTTCGAGGACCATACAATGATCATTCCAGATTTAGGAGTATTAATTGGCCTACTATAGAGAAATGAGGAGATGAAGTGAACTCGGGTAGGGTTGACTTACTTCACATATTTTTGATTTTTTCATTCATAATTACTATATTTTCTCATATTTATTTCATTTCAAAAGATGGCGGTATTACCCCAAAATACATATCTATAAAATACAAAATTATTGATTGTAGCCACCAGGAATTCCAAATTGGCACACATCCTTTTCAGTTAAGCCCGATATTACTTTAACGTCAATATATCATGCTGTAAAAATATCACTTTGTTCCATAAAAAGTGCCATAATTGGGCCATGATAGGGTCTTGTTCATTATATGTTTAATTGGTGTTGCATGATTTATAGTTGACACAATTCTAGAACGTATTAAACATCGAAAATATGTATTTAGAACTAAGAGACTCGTGTTCATACCACGTACAATGTATCTATTTCACACATAGGCTCAGTAAACTTACTGGAGGTAAGACTCAGAAGGCTGCATTATCACATCATTTAAACTGATATATTCTGTATTTTTGTTTATAAATATAAAGTTATATTTTTTATCACGATGCTCATCTAAAACAAATATGTTATACACAGTGTTTGGATGAGCGAATTGTGTAGACATATTTCAAAATTCTAGCCAAATGTTCAATATATCACTAGATACACAATATACTATGTATAATAATATTTCAAGGGGTTGCCAAACCTCCCCTTCTGTTTCAACAATATTTTAGACTATTAAGGTTTCACATATTAGCTGGGCCCCTAGGTGTCACCAATAAGTCATAGAAGGTCGAAACAGCTGTTTATTGCAGTTATATTACCAAATTATCTATAGCTGAAATCATCTCTGTGTTTGATTTACGTTCAGCTTTGAATGCGAGAACCTTTCATATAATATATTTTAATATTTCCACACAAAATATTTTTTAACAAATAGTTACCGTTTCCATATTTTTTTTATCGGCAACGACAACGAAATACACTAAGCAACAATATTATTTTTTCTTCAAAAAGAAGCCTGTGCTGAAAATAGTTGTGTGAGTCGGCAACAATCTACTCCTCACTTTCAATGATATACATTTATTCATGTTACCTTATTTTCTTACAGGAACATTCTTGGCATTGTTATCCAAGTTAATGAACTGTGAATTTTGAAGAATTTTGATAGATTTCTGTTTGATCTTGTGTCATCTACAGTACGGTTGATTATTTTTTTCTTTCTTTACATGACCATAACTCATACCATACTGAAGGGACACATTCTTTCTCTATTTATAAGAGCTGTCTTTTCCGAGAAATTTACGGAGGATGTGAGAAGTTTAAGTTCGATTGAAATTATCTTTGTTGTTTTCTGTGACAAGATTTTCCAATAGACTAGACGCACTCCTATGGGAACAAACTGTACAGCTCTTCTTGCCGATTTTCTTTTTTGTTTCACATAAGGCTGAATTTATCAAAGAGCTTATCAGGACTGGTGTTAAAATCTTTGCAAATTCCTTTCATTTTAAATTAATATATACCGACAATGTGCTGATATTTATTGACCACATCCATCCTTATCTTGAAATCGAGGACACGACAGACTCTGCAACTTCAGCTGCTTTCCTTCATCTTTACGAACATGAACAACAGGAACAACTTGCAGCTAAGTGGTACGATAAGCGTAATGATTTTGAATATCCGAGCCCGAGCTTTCCCTTTCTCGATAGTAACATTCCTGTTTCTCCAACCTGCAGTGTTTACATGTCGCATAGATTTAACCCCGATTTACATGGCGAGTGTTCGTCAATGAAACCGAAGTCGCCAACCCTTCCCGAAAGCGTGGTTTTGTTCTCTTTGTACTTTTCAATGGTGTCTTTGTAAATCTCTGTTAATGTTTTGTCCTATTTGTTTTCGATTTTTAGTTCGAATTCCGATTTTGTTGATACTTTGGTTTTTATCTTGTTTTGTTCAAGTGTACTTTTAATATAATCTTCAAATTCCTTATGGTCTGTGGAATTCTCCTTCGTGTAATAAGTAAAAATAATGACCACAAAAACCATGTCTCTTGATACAGATATCTGGTCTTTTTCAAATTAAAAAGAGAAGCAGACCAAATGTATAAACCATTTTAGCTGTTTTCTAATTGTACGTTACTAGAGCAGGTGCTTCGAAGGTATAAATATCACACGAATGATGTTACAGCTCCTCTAAATGTTACCAGTTGCTTCATTTACCACTCTACACCTGACACCCGTCAATATTTATCCTTTCAATTCCCGAATATTTTGTTAAACACCATAATTATAAAAAACGGTTAGGTTGGTCAAAAAGTGTGCTATAATACGGTTGCCACTCGTGTCGCAGGAAATCCCCACTATGTGGCAGCACCGGTTTCGTTTCTATATATAGATATTTTTCTTCAAATATTTTAATGGACAATTCTTCTCTTTGTTTACATTTCTTCATTTATAAGTATCTCCAAATGCATTGATACAATGTTTGTGATATTTTGTAAAGTTAAGGTATACATATTGAACTTGACATATTGCATACTTATATACTTGTTAAAAAAATAAATAGTTTTTTGTATAATTATGCTTTTAGATATATTGCATACTTACTTAGTTTATTATAAGGGTTCCAACCCGGTCTAGCCGAGCTATTTGTTTCTACATTCATAACACTGTTGATGATTTTTTTTTTCATTTCATCTTCATTTGTGGGTTTTTTTCATAAACGTCCCGAAGGTAAGGTTTTCCTTACGGAGATAAATGATTAACGCTAGAGTCTGAAAGAACAGTTTCTCTAAATCCTAGATACAGTTTTGGGCAGTGGTACAGGGATCCTTATGGTGTTGCGCGAGAATCAAACCTCGCGAAAGTTTCACTCGCGTTTTTACAGTATCTCTTTTCTATGTTGTAAGCGTCAATATCTCTTTATTGCATTCCTCTTTAGATGACGAGACCAATGCTGTTGTTAGCGTCAGCCGTCCTGATGTTAGGATTGTTTTCTGAGAGCGTGGTTTTTGCACTGACCGCACCGGAAGTCCAGATGTTTGGTGTTTCCGGTCAGCATTTAGCGACAGTTTCTGTGACAACCGGAAGTACCACGTGAGTACAATCTTTTCTGCAACCACTTTGTCTGTCCGTTTGTTAGCGAGCAAATAATATTTTTGTTATTACTTAACCCTGCATTAGTACCAATTGGTTCCGCTAGTCTGTGTTCCTTGATGTTATTTTCTATTTGATTTTCGGACCGAATCCTGACCGAATAGAAATACTACAACATGCTATTCATTCTATGTATAACATCGGGTCCCCGTTGGATAATTTAATCTGCTATATTCTTTATTCGTCTTCGCTAGGTGTTTTTTCACTTAATGTCGCCGTTTGTTTAAGGTACACTATCACATCCTCTGGTTTGCCGGATCATGACTGGCAGATGGTCAACCCTAACACTCCACTGTCACAGAACCATCAGATAAAGATACTCATTACCCCAAACGTATCCACAACAAAGGGTTGTCTCCCCATGGGAAAGATAGGCCTCACTAGGACAGGGGTGTCACTGTTCAACCCTCTTGCTTCAGACAGCCGAAACGCTGTTGAGGGCCCGAGTGCCGAAACGTTTGATAGCTGTGATGGACACACCACGAGGCATGGTGACTATCACTACCACAAGTTGCCGTCCTCGTGTCTATGGAAAAACGAAAGAGACTATTTCATCGGCGTTGCTATGGACGGGTATCCAATATATGGTCCAAACACAACTGGGTAGTAAGTATATCCCATATTCGGCCCCATCACATTTAAGTCTTCTTTGTACGCTGTTGAGGGCCCTAGTGCCGAAACGTTTGATAGCTGTGATGGACACACCACGAGGCATGGTGACTATCACTACCACAAGTTGCCGTCCTCATGTCTATGGAAAAACGAAAGAGACTATTTCATCGGCGTTGCTATGGACGGGTATCCGATATATGGTCCAAACACAACTGGGTAATAAGTATATCCATGTTCGGCCCCATCACATTAAAGGCTTCTTTGTGCACGGCATTCACATTCTAGAATTTGGAAAATGTTTGAAAGTCTCGTATCAATTTTCCTTCGAATTCACTATTAATAATATTCTATTGCGGCTTCAAGATTTTTTTAACTCTTAACATTACTGATTAAATATCACTGATTGGAGTGGAATGAAAGATCGGGTTTTAATCAGATTGGATTAGATACCACTGATTGAAAACTGGTCATCCGATGAGCTGATTATGGTATTCATTTTGTTTGCCGACAACCACTAGGTCAGTGTCGCTTTTGATCGCCTTAAATCTCCGAAGGCACAATCGACCCATCATCGATACACCAGGGGTTACGCTCATTTCTGCGCTCTGTATCCCTGGAGAATGTCATAGCAAAATCGAAGGTTCGGTCTAGTTTGATCTACTGATGTACATCAAAAGAATCTCGCTGTCACCTAACGGTAAAGTTGCCTGGATTTAAAGTGGAGTGTCGCTCCGCTGTGATCTTCGGAGAACAGGTATCAACCTACCGATTGGTCAGTTGTTTTCACCTGATACCAAGCAAATAGCTAGCCGCGTGCCTTCAGTTTTGCTATGACATATTCCAGGGGTGCAGAGAGCGAATATGAGCGTATACCCTGGAATATCGAGGATGCAATTGACCTTGTAATGTTTAAGTCTATTTTGCCCTTGATAATGTTTCTAAAAATCTAAATTACAGATACAATAGCAAAAAAAGGAAACTGCGTTGGTAAAATTATACACAAACAAATCAATACAGTAATAGTTTGCTTAAGAAAAGGTAACAGACACATTGAATCGAAGATAATATCACTTGTCAATTAGAAATACCATTTCACCGCGAGAGTACACGATGACGGGGCGGAGAGCTGGATGCCGTGCAGGCGTGGTTTTTTTGCAGTTCACGGACGGATTATCCGGTTTCCAAAAATGCGTTTAGCCGTCAAAATATGCAGTTGTGAAGCGATTCCACAAGTGTACAACTCGTATAAAAGCGTCTTCATAAGACATTAATAGTGTTCGGATGCACACCAAAGCTTCTAGGAACAACATTTTGGGCAACGCCAGTCTGAATCACTCAAACAGCCCAGCAGCAGCGGACTTCTTCACGCAGTCTAGGCATGGCCTACCAAACACGTTCACCAAGGATTGTTTTTAGTCTTGGACGGAAAGATGTAAACAACAGTAACAAATTGAATAGAGATTGTCAAACATGCTAGTAACGAAAATTGCGGAATTTGGCACGTGTACAAGGACACAAGAATTCACGTGCACAAAACGCATTTACCCATCAAGGTTGTTGAGGAGCGTACACATTTGTGTATTGTATTTCTATGTATGCACAGTTTCTTTTCTTCCATTAGTATAATGCAGTAGAGACTTGGCAAAGAAGCAGGTCCGGTTTATTCTTTCACACTTATTAGATAGTAGTTCAACTTTTTCGACTTTAACTCTTTTTGTCTTCAACGTCACTGAAGAAATTGTATTATTTGACAAATGCATGCCCGGTGTAGTGATATTATATGCTCCCAAGTACAACACGAATCTAGTAGTCAACTTTTTAAAACGGAGATGCATTAATTCGATTTTACTCTATTTTTTCAACATTTCCAAAATAGAAATGCTTCAGTATTAGTTTATCTTTTCAAAAAGGCTTCGGGACAATATTCTGAACACCGTTTACGATAACGCTCATTCCATCGCATCCTCAATATTCAGGGTTCACGCTCACTTTCGCTCTCTGTACCCCTGGAATATGTCATAGCAAAATTGAAGGCACGAAGATAGCTGTTTAGTTGGTCTCAGGTAAAATAAAACCCTGATCAATCGCTAGGCTGATACCTGTCCTTTGAAGATTACAAAGGAGAGACGCCCGACTTCAAAGCCTGTCAATTTTTACTGTTACGTACATCAAAGGATCGAACTAGTCTTCTTGTCTCATCAACAAGGTGGCGCACACCGAGCCTTCAATTTTGCTATGACATATTCCAGGGGTGTGTGGAGCGAAAGTGAGTGTAACCCCTGGATATCGAGGATGATTCCATCGTTGTGTAAGACAAACTATCATCAATCTGAAATCGAGTCAAAATGGCGTCTACCTCCTAACGGTTTCAGTAAAGTTCGATGAAATAGCTCCAAAAATGGTAGGACACTTTATGATAATTGTCCCACACGATCCATTCTTTCATTTGGTCTGATTTATACAGCGACACTTGGCTGAAGACCACAGACCTTGATGACTGTCACGGAAAGACTATTGGCGGGAATTACCGGTATATAGCTACTGTAGACTTCCCCTACCTGCTCGGCTGTTTCCATGGTGAAGTGATTGACACCAAAATTCGCACTTCCGCTGTTTGTGGAGCAAGCTCTAGTAAGTGCTTTACTTGGTTATTTGGATTTATAATAATAATAATGAAGATTTAAATATAGTTTAATTGTTAAATTAGATCTTTTGGCAAATACGTCTCTTCTTCAAGGATGAAAATCGCGAACGGAACAATGATATTAAGTGGAAGAAAATGCTAAGATTCAACACATGCATATAGTCGCCATAAAAATTTCCAATGGATAGATCTTACGAAAGAGACATCCCTACATCTATTTCATTTTAGTTAGAGACCTATTATTAAATTATACGAGTTACTGATTAAGAGACGTAACGGACCAAACGGAAATTGTTTTCTGTTCCAATTGACTCCTTATTAGGTACATTAAAATACGCCAAATATGGATGTAGAACGGGACCATTTATAATGCTTTTTTACAGGTCGCAGATGTGATTAATGTTTATAATAATGTATAAACTTCATGAAATAAGCATATTAGAAATAGTTACATTAAGATCTATTTAAGACTTTAGCAGCTTCATTAGTTCGTCCCACACAGGTAGCAAACGGTTCTTCAGGACGATATATCTGAAGCCAGTGCAGCGATAATCTTCGTAACAGCAAATTAATGGGAATGATAAGCTTACGCGAAATATTTTGAACGGTAAATGTTCTATTTATTATAACTATCTAAAATTACACACATTCGATTTATGAAGTTTTCCATTTCGGAATCTGCTGTTGAAAATCAAGATTTGCTAAAAAATAATCAGTTAATAAAATAAGAATTAGATAAAATATTCAGTTAATAAAATTAGATTACTTTTTTTGTATCATATTATCATAGAGTATCAAGAGAGTGTCATCACTCTACTCACATTAAATGAAAACCATTGTTTTACAGTGTAGGACCCGTATTCATGAAACTGTTCTCATGCTCAAGCATGGATTCTGTGTTTCTTATCACGCTTAAATCATGCCAAACGATCAAAATCAGTCTCTTCAAAATTTTCCAAACCATCGACAAAACAAGATATTTTTTTTCATTAATTTATAACCAGAAAAAGAGATTAGGCTTAGGTATAAAATTCATGCTTGAGCATGAGAACGGTTTCATAAATTCGGGCACTGTTGTCTACAAGTAACCTTGTAATTGATTGCGATGACTTGTAGAAGGCGAACGTTCACGCGATTGTGAAAGCAGTGGGCTCTGTCCCCAGGAATTGCATCTGTTATTCCCTGATTAACGTTCAGCAGTTCGAGTAATGACATTAATTGGTTCAAGTTTAATTAAGAATACTGTAATGGTTGCCGTCGGCACGTTACTTCATTGAGGTAGCTCTATAACGTCGCTATCAGATCCGCTATTGCAACGACATTCACGTGTATTTGACATTTATCTGACACTTTGTCAATTTCCAATTTGATAGTCTTATCCAACACAGAGAACAAATTAAGATATCAAGACATTCATGTCGTGGGCACGAAATTAGAAATGTCTAAGGAGATAAGACCCAAATCGGATCACTCATTACAAAAAATTACTTTTGAATCATTAAATGTGTCAACAGGTAAGTTATTACAACAATTATTCCTTATTATACATAGTTATGCATTAATTTTGGTCTAGAAATGATTTGAAGTTCAAATAGCATCAGAAGACGAATTTCAAACTCGAAATCTAGTTTCTGTTTTCGTAGTTAAAAATGGCGCATGCGAGGATTATGTATTTTGTTTCGGACAGTAGGAATAAATTCAGAATATAGAAATAATTGTATTAATTCAAATTCCAAATATCGTCATAAAATGTGTAAATACTGACAAAAAAAATTCATTTGAAGCGCAAAAACAAAAGTCAAGCTGTGATCCGTTTTGGGTACTGATATTGGAAAAAAAAACACCGAAGCGCTTATAAGTGACTTCATGGTGTTCTATACATATCTTACATGAGCCCTTGGTGTTTATTACGTTGGCAAAAACACACATCGATTTTCCTCTTTTGATCCATTTAGTACTGTCACCATAGTGTTTTATTAAAGATATATGTACATGTAATCTGAAACGCGTGTACATCGTGACATGGTGAGTCTATTTGTAAAAATGACTGTTAAGACTAATTTATTTTTTGTCTAGATATGTTACTATATACATTTAAAAAATAAAATGTACGGTTTGTTACAGGCGCTAAATTCGCACAATGGGGAGGATACTTGTGTAGCTGTGATGGTGCCAGCTGTCTGACGCCAGCTTCTATCTCGATGTTGTTTATCATCATCGTCGTCATGTCTAGGATCTGGGAGTGAAATAAACAGAAGACTGGCTTGTGAGAATGGTATTTAACGAATGAATATTGTTTTCTCAAAAGAAAAGCATAAGTAACATTATCAAGCTTATTTCTTAAAATGCGCGGAACTAATATTTTTTTATCAATAATATTATTCCACTTATAAAATAAACAAATAAAACTAATATAGAATTACTGTTATGTTTGTAACTATGCTGAAGGATTTAAAAAATGTTTCAAAAGAGTATATAACGCTCTCATTTTTATAACAACCAAGGGAAGTAAAAGGACTTCATTGGAATACAAATGCACCAGGGTTATTTTTCCTACATACCTTGTGTGTAATAAGGACTGTCTCAATGAAAATAAACTTCTAATATGTCTTCGGGTGTTTGACAACCGGCAATGAGTTACGAAAGACTATCAGAGTATTTTGCCGGAATGGTCCTCGTGTTTGGAGAAAACGTTATCTGCGTTCAGAGTTCATGAATTTTCTGCTAGAAGAAATACCAATCACAATCTCATGTCACTGGACGACTTGTTCAATTACTATCCATCAAGAATGACACCAAGTCAATATAGAGTACTGAACTCTGAACAGACCAATACACCCAGTTTCAAATCAGTATCAAGCCATCCTCTTTTTCACTCCCTTTTTCAAAGTCGTTAGTGTAGTGATAGTTAAGCCTACAGTTGACTTATCATGGACTAATTATTTGAATTAATATAAACTCATTCCGCATTGTAGCATCTTGGTAAAAGCAACTTGTACAGTGACGATAACTGCTATTCTATTAGTTAGTATTTTGTTGTAAATCAATCAAATATTTCATCTATGTAACATATGATTTGGTAAAAATTGACCGATGACTGTATTTCTGATGACAAACACATCTTATCTACTACATCTATATCGGACGAAGCTTTCCTTAAGGACTCTAATTATCTTGCAATATTTCGAAATCGGCTAAGGTTCATCATCTTACTTAAAAGGTCAAAGGTTAAAAAATAGTTACTTGTTTTGGAGACGTGTTCGTATATTGGTATTTTACCTACGCTTAGATCTCAATAATAAGTCTGCTTCTATCCTCATTTTCATATTGAAAAGTAATAATCAGTTGATTTATTCCTGGATCAAATTTAAATTTCGGCAATGTTTCAACCAAACTTAACTGTAAAATTCATTTTATATTCAAATGCTTTAAATAATTTCAACAATTTGCTATGCTTACAACCTACAATGAATTTTTATCCGTAGCTGTCTGTTATTGGTAGTAAATGTCCATTAGTTATTACAATAATGTAGAGTTACTGCTTAATGATAGACAGCCACAGATAATTATAGCTTAAATAATGTATTAATAGCACACTAATAAACATATTTATATATGTATATTTATTTCTGCTTCGAAGCAGTATATGTATATACATATTTATGAAAAATATGGCTGGGGGAATAAAATATTTGTAAAAATAAAATAAAAAAATAGCACACTAATAACACACAGGTAATTTAAATGATGAGATAATGCTTATGTATGATGTACGTAAGACACACACACAAGCGATTTAACCTATGCTTCGGTATAATACACAACATGCCATAAATGAAGTACATTGCACCATAAAGCTTTTCCGTTTATAGAAAAGAGAGCAATTCTAACACAGGTAAATATATAAAACCATGCGTAGGTAAAAATGTTAACAGGTAGATAGTCTACCTATGGACTTTATATACCTGCAACATTTCTCTATACCAAAGTGTGTAGACCTAATCACCAGGTGTAATGGATAGACACATATATTACTACAAAATATAATGTATGTTGATTAAATTTTACATATATGAGAATTTAATCATCGGTCGAATTCGTACATACTCATATTGTACCCGTTATTAAATAGTTATGTATTTACATCAGCTGCATGAGGTCTAGAATTGAACAGTACTGTACGTTTATTTTATATGGTCACATATTGTCTAAAAATAGGCTCTAACGCCAAATATGTTACCCATTTCCAATTATTAATTATTGACAGTAACCAAAATCTTTAATAATTATGATATCAATCCATTATGTCCATATATCTACCACCAATGGAGAGGACTTATATAGGCTATAAGCCTGTTGTCCAATCCTTTTGACAGTGGAACTTTCTTCTTTGTCAATAAAATATGTTGAAATTGAAAATGTTTACAAATATTGATAAGGTGCATGCTTGTATTATTTTCCCTCGGATTATTAGCCCTCCCCGCCACTCACCACTAAGAAAGACAAAACCAAACAAACACGATCGATTTTTAATATTTATATTTATCGATATATATTCTAATAATACATTTATACAATATTAAATAAGTTTGTAGAATGTAACATTGGCAAAACAAAGTCACAATTTACTTAATCCTGTTCGGATGACCCATTTTTTTGTGGGTGATGATGGTGCTTTCCCTTCACTTTAGATGCTATCTTATGCAGGATACCCGAGTGGTGATGTGAATCCTGTTCAAGCTTCTGCAGATCTTCCATTTCCGAAGTTTTGAGCCAATGGGAATCTCTGTTGTAATCGTATCCCGCCTTCAGTAGCTTACGGATAATTTCATTGGATGTCCTCTTGGCCTCCTTCATAGTTATATATAATGCCGACTGCCCAAGCCTGTCTTGTAGATGAACGTTACTTCCGGCGTGCAACAAATACGTGATGCCATCCTCTCTGCTTTCCTGTAAACCAATCATAAGTGCGGTCTTTCCTGTACAATCCCTTTCATCCAAATCTGCACCTAAATGAAATAAAAATAAGAAATGAAATCCTGAAGGATTATTTTTTTAACCAGAGTACCGAAAAAACGGTAGGGTTCAGGTTCAACGTGTCAAATGTGTGTTAAGGTGTGCGGAATCTAGATAGGTGTTTTTGGTTCCACGGGACTTGGGTCTCGATTTGAGGATGTGAAGTTACTCAGATTTGACTTAGATTAACATGGCAATTATTGTCGATGAAGCATTGGATGCCTACCGCTTACCTGTCTTTGTGGAAATTACGCCTTTACTTCTAAATAAGCACATACTATAAGTGCAAGATGATTAGGTGTTTACCTATATAATTCATGAATTCACTTACGCTCTTTGCACCCCTGGACTATGTCCTAGCAAAATTGGTGGCTTAGTGTTCACCACTTTGTGGATGAGACGAGAAGACTAGGTTGATCCTTCTCAATTTCAACAGATTTTATTGACTTTATAAATGTCAATTGGATTGGACATCAGGTTAGGCCTATTTAAGTTCTTTCCAAACTTATTTACAAACAATACATATATTCTGTCATAACAATCTAAATAAACAGTGCTGGAGAGATAACTCCATTTTAGCTTAGTTTGATCCTTGATGTACGTCAAAATAATCTGTCGGTTACGTAACGGTAAAAATGACTTGCTTTGAAGTCGAGCGTGACTCCTTTGTAATCTTCATAGGACAGGTATTAGCCTAGCAATTGACCAAGTTTTTTTTTACCTGATACCAATCAAATAGCTAGCCGCGTGTCTTTAATTTTGATATGACATCGTCCAGGGATGCAGAGAGCGAAAATTAGTTTACCCCCTGGAGTATCGATGACGGTGAATGAGACACAGGGAGTAAAGCGGACATTTAATCACACAGCAGAACATCAGGTCATGATGGCGACCGCACTATGTCTGCAGCGTACATTTAAAGATTTCTTTAGACAGCAATGTTTATTCAATCTATTAACTGATAGGTCAGCGCCATGCATCTATTCTTAACAACCATTCAAAAGCTGCTGGTTTATGAAGACTATGGAGACGTTTTATAGTGACCATCATTTGGGAAATAAACGTTGTCTCTGTGTGATATAAAGGTCGATGTTTTTGATTATGTTCACTAGAGTGCCTTGCTGTTTTGTTTCCCCTACCCCAGTTCTCGCACGTGGATGTGATAATTCTTGGATTTGACCTCGATTTACGAAGCAGAAGATGCTTGCTCTTCTAGAACACATGGACTTAAATTCCTTGTACTTTTTCAAAAGATTCCACATAAATCTTTTCTATGTTTTATTTCCTCCTAATTTTATTGATTTTCAGTTCGATTTGTGGTTTTGATGACACTTCGGTATTCACTTGTTATTTGTCTCAAAACAAAAGTACTTTGAACATATTTTGTTACAATAAGTATTTTAGTTACCACGTCCGCTTCCATGCATACCTACCTGCCTTATGAAGAATTTTCACAACTTCAAGGTCATCATACAATACAGCTCGCATTAATGGCGTCTGACCCAGGATGTTCTTGATATTTAGGTTACAACCTGCCAAAACATAAACAGTAGGAAAGTCGTAAATAAAAGAGCCCAAGGGCGATGTGTCTAGAGCAGTACTATAGTAATACATAGTAAAATGATAGAGTGGTGTGTCGGGCACACATGCGTATGTATGTAGGCAAAATATCTGTCAAGGACTGTTTAATTCATTTACCCCTGAAGTCACACTTGAACTCTTCCAATTCAAAGGTTTGAATAGTTCATTATGAAATTTCAGGGGTGAATAAGTTAATAAACATGCCAGTACAATTTTTTTATCTGTTCTCACTGAATTATGAATGTTAAGTACTGTATGGAATATATGTATAGTCACATAAATGTTAAATTGTTTATTTAGATTTTCAATTTTATGAATGATTCATTAAATACAATGAATCACAATTTCTGTACACAACATCATAAACAACTTGTACCTTCACGAGTTATGCAACAGTAAATGTAGATACAAAAATAACGTTTTTTGGAAAAAAAGTTGTTTACCATGTAGTGTTAATGTAATAACATGCGTCATCACTCTCGTCCAACATGTGTGTCAAAGATTGATTAATACATACATAGTTGTGCTTGACCTTCACTGTGTGTACGGAGAACTGTTGTCAAGGCGACAAATAGGGAATGTTCAGGTTCCTTATGTTGTTGTTCGGTAGTTAACTGTTGAATAAAGCTTCACAATCTTAACGTTGAAGAGAGATAAATGCTGTCTTAGAAATGTTCCGAAAATTATAAAATATTTTGGTATATGTTACCTAAAGGTGATTTTTAGATCTCTGTTCCATTTGTTTTGAATACAAAGATGGACTGTTTGAGTGAATTTGTCGTAAAGCTAGAGCGGTTTCGAAAAACTGCGCCCTACTTTACTTCATGCTTTCTTGTTTCGAGTTCTTACTGCACTAACTCGGTACTAAGACTTCTTATAGTGCTAACTCGGCAGGGGTAACTAAAAGATATATTCCAAACCCCAGTATGATAACAGACTGAGCGAATTTGCTCATTTTGCAACATTTATGCAAATTAACGACAATGTGAATTTAACAAATAATTTCTTACTGTTTTAATTCAATTATGGATCAAACTGTTTCATGATTATAACAATTTCTTTTTTAAATTGCTATTAACAAAAAGGTGTGCAGTAATATGAGTGTTTTTGTATAATTTTCAGATGATTATGTGAATTTAAAGGACATGCATGTTTTGTTTTCAATTGTGATAATCATGCAATAATGCTTTTTTATTTTTACAAGTAACCTGTGTATATTATTGATCTAAAGAATTGATAAAAGTAATTCCTTCATTTAGAATGGTGCAGGTGCAACGTTATTTATTTTCATACAAGATGTTAATACTATAATAAAACTTCACAGCATCGAGGTATGATCCCTATCCCGCTACTTCACCTAGGGAACACCAGTTACCTGTTTTTGTGAAGGCTACGCATTGTTAACCACCTTGGATATGCATGTTATTCAGAAAGGTGTATATTAATTTAAAAAAATAGTAAAAACAAATGTGGAATGAAATTCCTGTATGCACTGCGTCAGGGTAAATTATGTAATATCATGCAGCCTATGTACAATGGTAAAATGTTCTCAAGCTTAATATGTAAAACCTCGATGATGCCAGACAGTTAGCCACTGCACACGTTTGTATGATTAAACTACATTTACATTTGTACCAAGGTTCCACTCCAAAGTGGCCTTTAAACATTTTTTTACACAATTATTAAATGTTATTGCATAATTAGTTTTGATATGCGTACATAATGTATATGTGTTCAGTGTTTCGAAACTGATATTAAGTGAAATATTGTCACATTTCTTTACAATCGTCCAGCAAATACGTGGCGTTAGAATGAACCATGGCGATGTAAAGAAAGCAAAACATATAAATAATAATGAAAAAAACATATTTGTCCATATATGTATAGGTGAAAGGGACCTTGAAATAAGGTGGCTGTTAACTAAGTGGCAAATAAAATGAAGGGCATTATATCAAGGTTTCACTAGCATAGCGCTAAATGAGGGGCATTATATTGAGGTTAGACCGTATAACGAGTTAGTAGAAGTAATAACAACCAATGAAGCTATATCCTATCAACAATTTAAAAACAAGTGGTAATTAAGATTGAATCAAGACAAATTGATATTTTGTGAAACATTTATGTTCATAATCTTTGGTTGGGACCGATATAATTTTGCACATACCTAAATATATTATAGTTCACAGACAAATCCAATTATTTGTTACCGGATAGCAGTAATCTCACAATTAATTGCATGTTTAAGTTGTTTAGATATCAAACAAATTCTGAAAAGGCATTTGAACATATTATTTAAGTACTAAAAAATAAATTTCCGAAACAGTCTCTATTGCATAATAAGCAATAGAGATCTGCTCTCAAACGAAATGTGATAGGCATTATCTATTTTTCAGTAGTCCGTTTTAAAAGCGCTCAACTAGTCGAGTATATATTTACAAAACTATTGTACTTGAAATAGAAAATGGATCTCTTCTCTAACCTTGGACAGGACTAGGAGCTCATAATTTAGAACTGTAAATGTATCATGTAAAGTAGAAGAAAAACAAAATTCATAATATCAATACACTGTGACAAACTAGGGACATCAAGTCAGCACCAAAGAAGTATGAACATTTCATTTACTGTTTATTTCTGTTTGCCTCCCTTAATAAATCATTTCAGTGTGATTTAATCCTACAATAGATAATATTTAATATTTTGAAAAATTCAAAATATTTGTTTTTTTACATATTTTATATGTATACTTTCCTTGTATTGAGTTAGAAGATTATCTCTACGTAGATTAAGTTATGAGTTTCTACAATTCTAAAAAGAATATCTTGTCGAGAATCTAACCATGCTCTAGTAAAACAATCTCAGACAGTAAATTATTTCCGGCCGAAAACCTTTTTTTTTTGTCTTTGTAGGTTTAGTGATGACGTGATAAAATATCCATATATGATAAATTAATTCGTTATCTGATTAATATTTAGACACGGATATCGTGTCAACTTGACAGTTATACATGTATGTATGTAGTTTTCTATATAACAAAGTTGAACAATCTCATTAGCGATTGGTACATCATATAAATAACGTTATACAATGATAACCTCTTGATAAGGTCGATGCATGGTTGTATCAACCAGAGACATTAATAAGAAGAAATAGTATATCATGACTAACTCAATGATTATAAAGCCATATTTGTTTTTGGCTTGGAATGACTTTCCTTGTAAATGTATTGACCTTTCTATTCGGATGCTGTGTTTTTCTAATTTAGCCAGGGAAACCACATTACTAAAATGTAACATTAAAAGAGGAAACCTTCCGGGATTTTTCTTGCTGTATTTTTAATTTATTTATATTCTAAGTAATTTCGGATCCATACATTTCAAAAAGACTTAAACATAGTGATAATGGAAATTATATTTTTCAAATGTATGCTACCCTTTGTCCTTAGAACTTTAAAATAGGACGTATCGTGAAGTCGACAATGCTTACAACGAAGTGAAATTGACACGATGTCATATTAATGATAAATGCATGTCTATAAACGTCAGTGCTACGTGATGCTAACTAGGGATTTTATATATATTTATGTACATTTTATTCATCAGATAAGACAGACACATCAGCCTTCATATCAACTTAAATAATGTATTAATTGCTGAACAATTGATATCTTTATAAGCAGCTTGTCTTTATCATGTATGGAAATGTAATTAAACTTAGTATCATGATAATGACGTCAAATATATTCTGACAATAATTGGCAATAACGTTAACCTGGCTACATTGCAATCTATTTCAGTTTCCTGTAGGGATATTTCAGTTCTAATACTAATTTCAAATCTAGTGCAAACTATGATACGTAATTGTGTATTGGAACAGTCTTCATGTATAACAATATCACAAATAAATTATGGAATCAATACGAAGGGATCAAATCATAATTCACTTAGACGCTGTAAAACGCTGTGGGAACAAAGCGGTTGGTTAACAAAAAGACATTTTGATAGACGAAAAAAACCCAGTTGCTCCGGTTAAATAAATATTTGCTGCATCACATGGGGGACCCATCACATGTCCCCTGTTAAACCCTGGGTATGTGTCTGTCATCACCGATCTTAGTCTCCTGTGATGTAATTTAATTGACACATAAAGAGTATTAACAAAGCGACATATTTTGCACCTATATATTGTAATAATCTATGAAAGCATGTCGCACGCGAGATGTTGCTGATGAGGAGAGAACCGATGACGTTTTGATGACTCGTAAAAACGTTTCACCCCAACACATCGATCTCTGCATCCCTGGAATATATCATTGCGAATTTGAAGGCTCAGTGTGCACCACCTTCAGGGTGAGACGAAAAGACTAGTTTTATCCTTTGATATTGACTGGCTTTGAAGTCGGGTGTCGGTCCTATGTAATGTTCAAAGAACAAGTATCGGCCTCAGTGATTGGTTAAGTATTTTACCTGAGACCAATCAAAAATCTGGTTACGAGCCTTCAATATTGCTGACATATTCCAGGGATTCAGAGAGCGAAAGTGGGCGTAATACCTGGATTATCGAGGATGACCCACAAAAGGCTATAAAAAGGCTATACAGTTGAAAAATGCCCATTAATAGAAATATTGTAACCAAGCAGTTTGACAGCTATGGTTTTGAAGTGTCTGTTCTCATGCAGACGTGCTTCAATAATGCCAAGACGGCTCCATAACAAGCAAGAATACAAACAACAACAACAACAACAACAACATTCTAACTCGTTTAAAGATACTAACCAAACTGGACGAGAAGTTCTATTATGTCGATTTTAGACCTCTCCGTGGCTTCATGTAGAGGTGACACACCAAAATTATCCGCTCTGTTGATGTCGCCTCCAGATTCCAGGTATTTCTTGGCGACTTCGACATCCCCGTTCCGGGCGGCGTAGAACAGCGTATTCCTGCCTTTCTTGTCTCTGGTGTTGATGTCCACCTTACTCTCAGGGGGAAGTGATGACGTAGAACCGGACAACTGCTTCTGTCGCTGTAGCAGAGGTGACACAGAGGTCAAACTCCAGGAAGACCCATTGTTGGAGTTATTGGACTTGTCCATGATTGTTTAGAGTTTCTAGTGAAAATAGAAAAACAATATTAGGACATATGTTACTAAGCAACTATCTATGGTTGATTGGTACGTGTTTCTAGCGTCAATAGGAAATGAAGATATCTGTCTGAAGATTATAGATAACATTGACGTAAAAACACATGCATTGAGACACCATTTCAAATTAAATTGGAGGTGGATGGTTCGAATTCCAAGATATGGTCATTCCGAACCAAGTTTGCCAGTGCATAGTTAACAGTTTTTGGCAGTGCTACTCTGATCCCTAATATCTAGAGCCCAAATACATGCGTTTGCAATGGTCATCGCAACTAAAACAGATACACAGAATCAACCACATAAAACATAGCATACTTCCCACACAAAGCCAACATTAGTTGCTCTGGAGGATAAAATTCCTGTTTCCAGCAGCACATGAGGAACGCGTCCTAATGTCTCAAGTCAAAGCCAGGAAAATATAATGGCCACAACATAATCACAATGAAAGACATTAAAATCCCATATTTTGAAAATAATTCCTTGTAAATTTCTAAACATTTGGTATACCATTGACGTAAAGACATACATTGAGACATCATTTCAAATTAAATTGGAGGTGCATGGTTCGAACTCCAAGGTATAGTCATTCCTAACCAAGTTTTCCAGTGCTATACAGTGCAAGGTATATACAATACCTTGTAAAACCACACGAAAATGCTTTCTTCCATCTATTCTTTATATCCTTAGAACCAGACAAACAACATGTCGGGAAATACAACTCGGTAAAGTATATGTTATAAGACTCGCTGTGAATGACATCATAGTAATCGTTGAACAACAATCGCTATACTGTGTTCATATGTAATTAGGTGAAAATTGATGGATAGGTCGTACTACGTGTGAAGTACGCATCACACATTTTCTTATTGATCTATGGGTAGTTTTACATATATTCAGTGCGTTCGCAATATGTTTAAATCAGTGCACGAATAAGGAAATGTTGTCACGTGTCAAATATAATTGATGGAGGATGGCGTACATTTATATATTTTACTTACATCAGAATGACTGTCATTCACTTTCACATAACAATCCACGCTTCTTGCTTCCTGAGTATGTACACCTGTATTAACACGGGTGATTACACCTGTATTTACACGGGTGATTACACCTGTGTTTCCACGGTTGATTACACCTAAGTATTTACACGGTTAATGAGAAGATAGTCCCACGATTCAACGTCAACTTGTCTCACAGTTTAACACGGCAATATTCCTCAGGTACTGTCTGTACAACGTGGCAACTTCCCTCTGAAATTTAAAAATGGAACTGTTAATGTGTGGACAGTTATTATCATACAGAATAATTTACATACAAATAACTTACTGTGCATAAATGTGCATGTGTGAGTAATAGAAAATGCGAAGGAGACCAATGTGGACACAATATATAACACGGTCTCTTAATGTTCAGCGCTTAAGGTGAAATTAAAGTTTTTGCTAGAACCAATTGTATTTCAGAAAAACCTCTGTCCAAAATTATACAGCACTCTTGTAAAAATGCGTAGAATGTGAATGATTGCCTTAATGGATTTTCGTTTGTCACTTGTTCCAACGGTAAACAAAGTGATGCACTGTAGTATATTAAGGACACCCTGTCCTGACGACCAAAGCAAGGACATGTGCACCATTGACCAGTACAACCCCATTATGACATGTCGTGTCAAGTCAATGGTCAGCGAAGACTCATGTTATATCCCGTCGTATAAATGACAATTCACTGCAAACCTGTACGGTGATGACGTCATATTTACCCTTGTTTTGACACCGCTATAATTTGTAGAAACCGAATTTAAAGGTTTCTCTGATGAGTAATAAATAGCATTGCTAGAATCTGACGTCAGTGACGTCATAGGTTGGTAGAAATACGCCAGTAGCATAGTTAATAATGTTTCCACACAAAATATAAATCTTTAATAAAGATATTGCCAATCAATTTCAATCGCTGCTAAGGCAGTAACAGATCGTTTTCAAAATGTAGCGAAGCAGATGACCAGAATGGAGCTCATGTTCAGGTTTAATTAATTGCTTTTTTTACTTTTCATTCGCCAGAGTCTGGATTAATAACGCTTTTTACAGAGAAAACATCTACACCATTTACAGTTTATACCTGCCGGGCTTTTAAAAATTTCCTCAATTTATCACACTTGTTTTCCTCTTGTTTGTTTTCTGTCAAATCCATCGCTTTCATTTTTACAAACCGATTATAATTTTCACAACGACACTCTAAACTCAGTAATTAAAATGAAGATGACGTAAATCAAAACCTGACCATCTAGAGCTAGTAGATTTCCAAGAAATAATACATATTTGTTTAAATACCTGTCCTTGTATAAGAAAACATTAAGCTTACACGGCCGTTACAATGTAGTTAATTTGCCGACTGATGATGGACGTGGAATGTGTCTCCACCACAACACCGTTGTAAACAAGCAAGCAGCCAGATAAATATACCCAAGGCCAAGCTGCCGACAGATGATAAACAATTCTAACGATATCCCTGGACACTTTCTCGTCTACGCAAGGGTCACTCTATATATAGAAGATATCTTTTTATCATAGTTACCATATACCATTCGCATCATATCAGGGCTTTGTTTCTCGAAATATTTTATTTACAAAAAAAATGCATTTCCCCAATGATTTATTCTTTAATCCTTAAACTGTTGTTAGAAATATCCGTATAAACATTATTTTGAATGATACGGGATCAGCAAGTAGTCATTTTAAGTAACATATAGGTATAAGGAATTATCGGTAACTACTTGGTATGACTATATATCTTGCAGAACACATTTTGGGTATAATTGTGACCATATGATGAAGATGATGATGATGGTCTATTAAAGTTATCATAAAACATCAAGAAAATAACAAAATGTAAACAGGACCGAAATTGGAACAGAAAATAGATTTACATATTATACCATTGTCGAACAGCATTCAACAACCTTCATGGACATTTTAGCTTAAACCAACAACTAACTCTCAATTCTACAAAAACCTGTGCAGAGGGAAAGAACGGTCATAAGTTTTCCCGAAGCTTCTGGGATGTCTTAGACATCTTTTGGTTGCAATATTAAAAAACATAAATAAATATGATTTATGAACCTACGTGATATATATTCAGTAATATATCTCTATAGGATCGTATTTCTCGTACTTGATTTATACACGCTTGAATGCAATAAAAATATAATGATTACTCATAATTAATATACCTTAAATTATAACCTAGCCTAAAGTTAAAACTTGTCAAATGGTTACATATTCTGTATGTACATCAGACGCACCTGTTAATAAATATTAATAAAAGTACGAAGTAAAAAAACGCCTATTACAAAATTACAAAATCATGCAAGTGAACATTTCACTGCAACGTATGGCTTTCCTCCCCATTTAGGACTAAAATGTAGAAATACAGTGAAAGGGGAAAGGTACCTATTACACTCTTTACATTGTTTAAAATGTAAAGTATTTGACAACAACTGATTCTTATTCTTCATTGGTTCTTCATTCTTAAACTAGGACATCGTGCCAAATAGCCTAGTGGCTATATTAGACGCCACATTGGATTTTGTCAAGCACATCTCATAAATATGTCCATTTGTCATATTTTTAGGGTGTATATAAAATGTTATGCTAAAACAAGTTCCTCATGCCTTTTCACGTAAAGTTCCAGACTAGATTCCCTCGTACGGGAAGAATGATCCACAGAATGTTCTTGATGTAAGGTTTAGATACCGCATTATTCGTGAATATATATGTTTGTTTGACTGTACAGACTTTATTACCAGGTAAGTAAAGGTAGCCAATGAAAACACGAGTGAAACATCTTGTAAATGAATAAATAAAAATAAAAAATAGATGTTGTTCTTCAAGTAGGATCATTATGACGTGGAACGTTCATTACTAAAATGGTACAAAAAAACAACCCAAGAGAAACTGGTTCCCTGACATGATATAGAACGTGTGTTAAACTTTGCTTAGAATATTAAATGAGCTTGTGTGTTCCACGCAGAGGTCAACACATGTAAATATTTGTCCACAACATAAACCCATCACTTCGCATGTATAACAAGATCTGATTTAACGAGTTGACTACAAACACCGATACACGTGGTGGTTTTTATAGTATCTCCCTTAGTTTGAAACGTTAATACACTTGTCAAAACGTAGAAAAAATACATAGCGATATGTGTTAACTTCAATTAGTTAATTTTGTTGTATTTCGAACTTAGACTATACTTTCATTTATATTTAAAATTAAAATTATCTTTCGATATTTGTTTTCACTTCCGAACGTATGGACTCCATCGAAAAGCAAGTAAGAACATTCTTAAAATCTATACTTGATATTTTCAAAACGAATCCATGCACTTAAATACGTGAAGAACTTTGTGGAACAAACGTGAATAGCCATATTGATCTCTATGTAAACACATTACTAGGAAATAAACTTAACTTATCTAATCATTATTTCTTCATTTTCATATCAAGATATTGAAATATTTGTTAAAATATACTACGTTCAATAAGAATAGTTGATATAACTCACTTGGTACTTCATTAAGTGTTGACAGTTGCCGAATGTCCCTGTACGCACACACTCGTCCTTGCGTTAGAGAAGTCACTGTTTTACTGGATGTGTGTAGGACAATCTATCATTTCACTTGTCAAAGGCGGTAAATGTCCACAACACGCGAGGCAGGTCAGGGCAGTCGTCTGGATTTTTTTTTTTTTATCAGAGGCGGGACATGCCCACAACACAGTAGAGTGTTAGGTACGATGTCACTTGTCAGAGGCGGTACATGTCCACAACACAGGAGAGTATTACAACATCGTCTGTCATTTGTCAGAGATCATATCTGTACTTATAATTACGACAGGCGATTATTGTTAGCGGTACACGTCAGTTCGCCTCATTATAATAAACCAGTCATAGAATGGTATACATGTTTGATGAGAGTATGCTTTTGCCTCTGTTGGTCGTGACAGATTGATGTTCATAATGTTTACCCTTTTGTTTTGGTGTATCGTCAATATAGGTTTTTGTGCTTTGTAAGCGACTTTGAGCAAACATTTTAAACTTATTAGAAATTTAAGTAAGAACGTGATCAAGCAACTGTTAAGAGAAGTCGTATATTATGATATATAAGCTATATCAAAGTCTTGCTATAAACGTTTTGTTACTGTATAATGCGATTGAGATCTATGTCTTTTACTTCACAATGAGTTATAATCTCATTTCATTATGTAATATATAGTACTCGTTCTACCTTCATGTTGAGGTTGTATGATTGACTTTGAAGTTTTGTTATTTCCTAGAAATTTGGTTAGATTAAGGCTTTATTTGTATTATTTCATAAACAACTAAATTATGCTTCATAAGAGTACGCAGGAAAACCTTAAATTTTTCCCCAACTTATGCCTATTTCATGAATTTGTAATTACTATGCATGAAATTGAATCTATTGCATATGTTCTCCGCCATTGTACAAGATATTTGTAAAGTATTTATCTATATGTATATTTCTGTACGCCTATATTCAGTGTGCATTTGGTAATAAAGTGAATTGAGTTTAGACTTAGTCTTTTTTGTGTACGCTGTGGTATGTTTGTATAGTTATCACTTTTATTTGACTCTTTAGCCAGTGCAAATTTATCGTGAGAGAAAATATCAAGATTTTTGTGGAATGATGTGTGGGTTGCCGTGACCGCTTTGTCAGTATTAACATACATTTGGGAAAGAAAAATACAACAACATGATAGACTGTAATTTGTAATTATTAACAGATATCTAAAATGATCACGAACCTTTTGTAATTTTTAACATTAATAGCAATGAAAAAATATGCCTTTATTTGAAGATGTTACCTACATTTCATCTTGAAAAAAGTGAAAATTTAACTTCGACAAACAAACTTTTATTCAGAAACCCTAACGCTCTACCCTCCCCCCCCGCCATTTCTTTTTCAAATAAATCAGAAAATTAAAAAACCACACAAAATAATTTCAAACAAAAATTTTAAATCTCAGTCTCAAATCGAAAATAAATTCAAAATGCGTTCAGAGATGAGTTTAATTCAGGATTAGTTTCTCCTGCAGTTTTTGAAACCATCTAAATGTTAGCTTATGTCAGCATCAACAGCAGCATACGAATTAGGAGGTCATTTGTAATTTGACGTTGTATTTTAAGCTCGTGAGTTGAGGTTGAGTATATTTTTTTAATTTGCATTTTTGGTTACTTGTGATGTTCTTTCGTCAACAGGTAAAGGTACAGGTCAAATATTTATGTATTTCTGATATAATTTTATCTTTATATATAAAATAAGGTGTGAAGGTCTGTATCATATCAGAAATTTATATATATGAATAGAAGGTCCGCCTGAAAAAGCCGGAGAGGACCGAAAGGCCTAGCGGTCAGTCTTGTGTACTTGTTTTTTTTTCCTTCTCAAGAACTTCTTCCAATATTATGTACGATGATTACTTAAGAGATGATGGTATTTCTGCATCCATTGACATTCTTTACTTTAGTTCGTTACTGTTGTCATTCTTGTCGCGAAGCCTAATTTGACGTCATCAGGTGATGGCCACCCCTCTTCAGATGTTTCGACCCTTAATCACTACATCCTCCGGCTGGTGGGTCAGTAGTGGTGGCCAAACCACTACTCGTCTATATCGGCTTCCACATCGGCTCTTCTCGTGTGTGCCATAGCCAGCACGATGCTCTCTGCTATATATATAATTATATACCAAAATTGATCAGAGTTTCTTAGTACCTCCCCGGTACTAAGTACTAAGTAACTTTTTTGTGATTTTATTTTAATATCTTACCATCATAAGGACTTTGGATGTTTTTCCGATTTATTACATACTAACTAATAAATACGTTTTTTTTTGTATATGCGATACGACACAATTGCTCTAACCCAATCAGCCCTCGCCGTATCACACCCCAAAACCCGTATCAGCCCCCGCCGTATCAAACCCCAAAACCCGTATAAGCCCGCAAAACCCATATCACACCCCTTTTGGAAAAAAAATCGTTTTTCAATATTTCAAAAATAAAAATAATTTATAAGAGAGTAGTTTTTATTAGTAAGTATGTAATAAACAGAATAAAACACGTCTTTTTCCATATCACACCCAATATCAACCCTCGACCAATATTAGCCCTCGGGCTTTCGGCCCTTGGGCTGATATTGCAGTCTCGGGTTGATACTGGGTGTGGTATGGAAAAAGGCATGTATTATTCTCTATATAATGATACATGTATATGGTATATCCTGAACTAATTGATTGACGCCGATCTTTAAAGACAGCTGTCAGAACTACTAATACATTTTACTGTGATCACATTAATAATTTTACATTACAATTACAAAGACTTGTATAATGATATGTTGTCTGAAGTAAATACAAAGGCCAACTGGCTTAGTAATGTTAAATCAATGTTAATGTCTCTAGGTTTTGGATATGTTTGGTAAGATCAGAAAGTTGTATGTAAGAATCAATTTATATTGGACGTTAAACTACGTCTACGTGATGTTTTTATATAAAATATGAACATTTTTTTTGAAAACTCTACGAAAAGTGTTTTTATATAGATGCCTGCCCGAGGTTAATTGTCTTCAGTATTATCTTTGTAAATCTTTTCCTGAATCATGTATTTTAAACATTGCGAAACTGAGATTATCTTCACACGACCTTCGTATAGAAGGGGCAGATATGAGAGAATAGCACGTAATGCAAGACTATGTTTTAAGTGTAATTTAGGGGATATAGAGGACGGAATGCATTTTATTCTTGTTTGTCCATTTTACAACGAAGTAAGAACACAATACATTGACAGATATTACAGAATTAGACCGTCTATGTTTAAATTAATTAGCTTACTTTCTGTTAGAAATAAGAAGAAATTGAATAATCTTTCCATTTTTTTTCCTTCTGCTTCACAACTGAGATCAAATGAATAATTACATGTATTGTCCGTCCTCCATAATATGTCTGTATTGCTGTGTATCACTCACTCAATTTTGTAAAAATGTGTTGTAATGTTTATGCTGATTAGCCGAAAGGCTAAAGGCCAATAAATTAAACTAAACTAAACAATAACCCGAACTTAATGATTCAGTATAACGACATTGCTTATGAGTGTACAATCTTTTAGATTTATTTTTCACAGATAGATTCACGATACCTTGACAAAGCAACATGTTTAATACATCTATAAGTATTTCGATTAAACAAAAAACACCTTCACTGATGAAATACCAGGTATAATGTTATAATTAAACGATAACATTATTTATGACAGATTATTGTGAAGGCTTTGATCGTAATGTAATAAGATTAGGGTTTTAAAGCAATACATATGTGGGGGAGTACCAGGAAATAAAAATCATTTATTAAGAATCAAATTGTCAGAGGATCAAATATAACATTAAGGAATTAGTTATAATTCAAGTAAATATCAAACAGTAAAAACCCGCTTTACTACCTACATTTGTCAGGCCTAATTTTAAAGAATTATTAAGCCATTATTAACATAGAAGGAAAACGCATCTATTAAAATGGGCTTTCGGAAAGACGCATGGTAAATGAAACGAAGGCGTTATATCAAGGTTTTCCTGCTGAAAATGAAGCACATTTTAATAAAATTTGACCATGAAAACCACATCCAGATAGCGATAAATACAAGAGCATCGCAAACGGATGCATAATACGCCCGTCTGACCCTATCCGACGATTTTTTGTTCGTTGAATTAAATCCATATCGTCCTTTTTAGACCCCACATGAACATCCATGCCCAAAATTAGGACAATAACACATGATCTGACTGAACTGTACACCACTGAAGAAACTTGCACCAAAACTTTAACCGAGAAATTGCGCGAGAAAAAGTTGAGTCCAAAACACGTCCAAAATTAACAAAAACAGGAATCATTAGCCCAAATTAAATCCATATCGTCCTTTTTAGACCCCACATGAACATCCATGCCAAAAATCAGGACAATAACACTTGATCTGATTGAACTGTACACCACTGAAGAAACTTGCACCAAAACTTTAACCGAGAAATTGCGCGAGAAAAAGTTAAGTCCCAAACACGTCCAAAATGTCCAAAAACAGGAATGACTAGCCCAAATTAGATCCCACATAAACATCCATGCCAAAGATTAGGACAATAACACATGACCTGACTGAACTGTAGACCACTGAAGAAACTTGCACATACTAAGCATGTAGGTGGATCTCCCGTATTCAGCAGATCAGTGCGGAGCCGGGAGAAGACAACGGTCGTGGTCTTTTTTAACTCTGGTTCCTATACAAATTGGCAAAAAGAGGAGCGTGAAACCGAAAAGAAGGGCTTCACGAACTTCCACAAAAATGGAAAGTAAGTTGGGCAACAACGATCAAATTCAGTGTAAGCAATACTTTAACCATATAGCGAACACTGAAATATCAGTGTAGAATTAAGCTTCTCAAGTAGAAACGACCTGGCTTATTTAGTTGTTTATTGGTGTATTTCATCAAACGAATCTTTCAGTTCCGTTTTTTTATATGCAAAATCATTCCTGAAATATATAGGATTGCAATATATAACCGCAAAACGTATGGTTGCTTGCTTCTTATGTCACGTATTCGTTTTATTATATGATAAAATTTAGATCTACATGTATTTTCAAACCGCATGATGTCACTTATGACGGTATATTCTTTGAATTGTTGCAAAAGTATGATATTTCGTCTGTGATTTCTTCTTATTTAT